TGAAGTATTTTGCGTAGACAACTGTTAATAAACACTTGTATCTTCTGGATGATGGCTTTCGTAGTTCTCCAGGTTTCCGCCCCATACAGTAGAACCGTCTTGACATTTGTATTGAAAATCCTGACCTTGGTGTTGGTTGACAGTTGCTTTGAGTTCCAGATATTCCTCAATTGTAAATATGCTGCTGTTGCTTTACCGATCCGCGCCTTCACATCTGCATCAGATATACCGTGTTCATCAATGATGCTGTCCAAATATGTAAAGGTTTTTACATCTTCCAAATCTTCTCCGTCAATTGTGATTGGATTGGTGCATGCTGTGTTGTATCGGAAAACCTTGCCCTTCCCTTTGTGTATATTGAGACCTATTGCTGCTGAGGCTGCTGCTACACTGGTCGTCTTCTCCTGCATTTGTTGTTGCGTTTGCGATAGAAGGACCAGATCATCTGCGAAGTCCAGATCGTCCAACTGCATCCTAGATATCCATTGTATACCGTGCTTCCCTTCAGATGTTGACGTCTTCATGATCCAGTCAATCAACAGGAGAAAGAGAAAGGGTGAGAGTAAGCAACCTTGCCTAACACCGGTCTTCACTTCGAACGACTTTTGTCAACTGTCCTCCATGCACGATTTTGCAGTGTAATCCATCATATGAACTCTGTATGATATTGACTATCTTCTGAGGCACGCCGTAGTGTCGAAGAAGTTTCCATAGTGTTGTTCTGTCCACGCTATCAAATGCTTTTTCGTAGTCAATGAAGTTGATGTAGAGTGATGAATTCCATTCAATTGATTGTTCCACAATGATCCGTAGAGTTGAGATTTGGTCTGTACACGATCTATCCTTACGGAATCTTGCCTGTTGGTCACGAAGTTGGGCGTCTACGTAGTCCTTCATCCTGTTTAACAATACTCTGTTGAAGACTTTTCCCGTTATTGAGAGAAGAGTGGTGCCCCTGTAGTTATCACAGTCGCTGAGATCGCCTTTCTTCGGTATTTTGATCTGGAGTCCTTCTTTCCAGTTTTTTGGTACTTGTTCCTCATCCCAAATCTTATTGTAGAGAATGTGGAGTATCCTTGCAGTTGCCGCTACGTCTGCTTTTAGTGCCTCTGCTGAAATGTTGTCTGGTCCTGCTGCTTTGCCACTCTTGATTTGTCTGATGGCCATGCTGATTTCTTCAATTGTTGGTGGGCCAAGGTTAATTGGGAGGTCCGTGGGTGCTGTTTCGATGTTGAGTGGGTTCAGTGGAGCTGGTCGATTCAAGAGTTCTTTGAAGTGTTCTACTCACCTGTTTTGTTGCTCTTCAGTATTGGTGATTACCTCGCCTTCCTTGCTTTTCACTGGTCGTTCTGGCTTGCGGCGATATCGAGAGAGTTTCTTTGTTACGTCATACAGTTGTCTCAAGTTCCCTTCTCTTGCAGCCTTTTCCACCGTCGTTGCTAGATCTTCCACATATTTACGTTTGTCGATTCTGATACTCCTCTTCACTTGTTTGTTTACTTCTGTGTATTCAGCTTGTGCTTTGGCTTTTACTGCTCTTGTTCGACTGGTATTGATTGCTGCCTTCTTTTTCCTTCTTTCTTGAATCTTATCCAGTGTATCAACAGTGATCCATTCCTTGTGATAGTGCTTCTTGTGACCCAGGACCTCATGACATGTTGAAGTGATTGCCTCTTTAATCCCCTTCCAGTTGCTCTCCACAGTAGTTCCTTCTCCATTGAGTAGATCATGAAAGGCCTGGAACTTATTGTTGAGGATTATCTTGAATTTGTTGAGTTTGTTAGTATCCTGAAGAAATGCCGTATTGAACTTTTGTGATATTGTCCGCCCCATTGTCCAGTGTTTCTTGAGTTTCAATTTCATCTTGGCGACCAGCAAGTGATGATCTGATGCTATATCAGCTCCTCTCTTGGTTCTCACGTCCTCTATAGTCCTCCTGAACATTTTGTTGATGCAAATATGGTCGATTTGGTTTTGCGTGGTGTGATCCGGCGAAGTCCATGTGGTTTTGTGAATGCGTCTATGTGGGAATATGGTGCCGCCTATGACCTGTCTATTGAAGGCACATAGGTTTGCAAATCTCTCAACATTTTCGTTTTTTCTCCCAGTCCATGTCGTCCCATGATGTCTTCATATCCAGTGTTGTCCGTTCCAACCTTGGCGTTGAAATCTCCCATCAGAATGGTCAGGTCCTTTGTTTGGCACTTCTCGACGATTGACTGCAGCCTATTGTAGAATTGGTCTTTAGCGTCTTCATTGTAGTCGTTAGTAGGTGCATAGCATTGGATAATATTCATTGTAATGCCCTCCTTTTTTGTTTTGAACGAGGCTTTGATGATCCTTGGTCCATGAGATTCCCATCCTATAAGCGCATTTTGTGCTTGTTTGGACAGCATCAATGCAACTCCTTGTGTATATGGGTCATTTTCTTCTTCATGGCCGGAGTATAACAGAAGCTCTCCTGAAGTTAGTCGTTGTTGTCCAACTTGCGTCCAATGTGTTTCACTGATCCCAAGTAGCTCTAGGTTGTATCTTCTCATTTCTGCAGCAATTTGGAAGGCTCTCCCGGTGTCCCACATTGTACGAACATTCCATGTACCTAAATAAATGGTCGCTCTGGTTGTCAGAAGGGGCATCGGGATCGTAACTTCCGAAGGAATTCGGCTTTCATCATGAGGCGTCATAGTTCTTCTAAATGAAGACCTTCTGACTCCCAGGGAAGAGGTTAAAAGGTTTGAATAATTTTTTATGGTTAGCGTTTTTTTAGTGAGTTAGTTTTTTAAGGGATGGGGACGCTAACCTCATGCCCAACCCTCCTCCATTATCCGGGCTTGGGACCGGCAGTAGCCCCCGGAGGGACTCCAGGCGGAGTTCTTGGTAGCGGTATTCATAGTCAATTGGGACTCGACACTACGCTTCAAAAGAATAGTATTACAAGACGATCTAAGCTCATTAGTGGCATGGTTAGATAGGTGGTCACTAGAAGTAAATCCTAATAAGAGTGTAGTGATGCAGTTAAATAACACTGATGAATCGTATGACCATACACTACGTGGATTCGTGCTACCTAAAGCAAGAAACTATAAAGACTCAGGAGTCATATTAAGCAATGATATGAAAACGACTAGTCACTGTAAGGCTGCTGCTGAAAAAACTATAAAGTATTATGGTCAATTCGTAGGTCTTTCCAGTATTTAGATGATGAGATGTTTAGATTACTATACTCGATTTATGTGCGACCACATATAGAATACGGGATTCAAGCAGCGTGTCCTTGTTTCAAATATGAAGCAGTTATGCTAGAAAGAGTCCAACCACGAGCTACTACGATGGTACAACGTCTATCTGGCCTATCTTATGAAGACAGACTGAGACACCTTAACTTATTTCCGTTATCTTACCGTAGAATACGGTGTGATCTAATATTGGCCTATCATATACTGAACGATGACCTTGGTATTACCATGTCTTATCTTTTGCTTCCGTCTAGAATGGATCATTTGAGAGGACATTCGAAGAAAGTTCAAAAAACCGAGATCAAATCGTTTAGTCTGGAGTTCCGTTTCTCGCACCGAGTAGTCAATTACTGGAATTCTCTACCGGAACACGTCATATCATCACCTTCTGTTGGTATATTCAAGACGAGATTGTTCTTTTACAGTATCACAAACTGCAAGAATTAATATAGGTCGACAGACCTCCTATCCTTATTACTGTATGCAGCGCAACTTGTTATTATCGAAAAGACAAGGTCTATGTTTCACCAAAAGCCCAAACAGCATGAAAACGATTGTGTCACATCCCATTGTGTCTATAAATTTACATGTATGTGTGGAAACACGTACGTAGGGAGGAGCAATCGTGATTTGCAATTAAGGGTGGGTGAACATATACCAAAATGGTTGCAGAATCAGATGAATTCCAATGGTGAAATAAGATCACAGGATAGACAGACATCATCATCCATTGTGAAACATTTGATTGAGACGGGTCATAAGGTTGATATCAAATCAGCATTTGTTGTATTGTACAAAAGCCTTCAAGGACGTATACTAAGGTTTATTGAAGCCTTGGCTATACGGAAATTGAAACCCCCTTTATGTGTTCAAAAACAATTTGTACTTACACTTAACCTACCCTGGTAGTACTGATTTACTATCCAGAGTGGTAATCACATTTGTTTTTGTGTACTTTAATATTCTTCCTTTGTTACGACTTACCCTTAACCTGTCTAGTTGACCTTTTAATTTTTCATATATAAATGTTCTTAACAAGTATATGTGTGATCAGATTGTTCGAAATGTATTGCGCAAATATATCACATAATTCTGATAAACTACGTTTTCTCATTGCATTATCGAAACTTATTACTGTAGACTGAACCTTAAACAGGTTACCGCGCTTTTCAAATGGTAGGTTTAGTCGTAGTGTGATTTGCATTTATCAAACTTTTGCTGTGTTCTTACACAACAAAAGTACGATTTCAGTTTTAAAGAATCTATCCTCATATATACGTTCGGTAGATTACTTTTTTTGAGTTTTACCATATTTAATAGTTACCTGTGGTTTTGCCTCAGCTTACTATTCGGTTTTTTCAGTTTTTCACGTAAAAAACTAGTTCAGTTTATCTCATCCGTTTTATCCATTTTTGTTCGTTTTCAGTGTGTATTTTAGTGTATTTTTTACGGTCTTCGGCTTTTGCTAGCATTTTCAACACAGTTTACGTCAATACAACGCGCTCTATTCAAAAGGACAGTGGTATTCTTTCTCGTTGAGTTAATTAACTGTTTTGATCGTAAACTACGCATCAAAACTACTGTTTACACTTTAATTGCATCTACCCCAGTTAAAGTGATATTGTATTGAGTTTTTTGATTTTGCTTCTGTGTATTTATTGCATCGAAGCATACTTGGTCGACTTTTACTTGGTTTTTTAGTTAAGGTTTGAAAATCCCTTTACATATCCTGTTTTTTTATCACCGTTCGAGTTGATTTTCACGATGGCTAAGTCTACTCATAAATGTAGACAACCATACTGCTTATTTCCCGTGGATGAAGGGATGCAATGTGATGAGTGTAAGGTTGATGAAGGCTGTACTGATAACATTGGTACTGATGGCGAAGATTGCGTTAGTGTCGTAAGTGCTATCACGGCGCAAGCCAGACATCTACCTGTGCAACCAGCAGTTAAACGTTCTCCGAAACGTTCAGTGAGTGACACGTCATTAGACGTTGGTGGCCATATTGCTACAGCAGCAACCGGTGACCCAGATAAAACAATTACTGTCCCGAGTTGTTCTAATGTAGACGTTTCGACTGATGGAAAATGGATGACGCGAAAACGCAGAAGAGTAGGAAAGATAGCTAAAACTAATGACTGTTTACTTGGTAAGTCCTTGGTGGACTCTCAGGCCAATCCGCCAAAGTCCCATAGTAAAGTTTCGTCTGACATTGTTGTGAGTCATTCGCTTGACTCCCAGGACTCTGTTAAAATAAAAACTAATCGTAAGATACCAGTAGTTAAAATACAGGATCTAACGTCACGTTCAAAAGCTGTAAACACAGTTTCAAAAGAAGCCAAACCCCTCCCTAGTTTAATTATTTGGAATCTAGAGGAGTCGAAAGACAACGACCCTGCTAGAAGACATGCACATGACCTGCAGTTAGTGGAGTCTGTGGTAAGGAATGTACTACCTGAAGAGGTTTCAGGAGTACATATTACAAAAGTAATACGACTTGGTAAATGGGTTGGAGGCGAGACCCAACCAAGAAGAATCCTGAAGCTGGTTCTCGGAAGTATTGATGAAAGAGACATATTATTGAAAAGCGCACTAAAAACTCGTGACTCAAATATCCGTATTCGACCAGATTGGCCACTTGAGGATCGAATCAAGTGGAAGAATGCTCTTACGGAGTTGAGGACTCGTAAATTAAATGGCGAAAATAACCTTACCATTAAGGGTTTTCGGGTAGTCAGGTCTTGGAAGCCAATGCTTCCGAGGCCTGTATGGGTAGAACGATTGATTGCCAAAACACCTTAAGTGTGTGCTACACGAACGCTCGTAGTCTTAGAAATAAAACGTCCGAGCTAAGTCTGATGGTACAAGAATTACGTCCCGATATAATCGTTGTTACAGAAACTTGGTTCACCGTTGATGTAGACTGTCCTCCTTTCATTGCTGGTTATATCTGTATCAGAAGTGATAGAGTTTCTAGTCGCAAAGGGGGAGGTGTAATATTATATGTTAGGGATCACTTTCGTATACAATCAACCATATCAGAGGCTCATATCAGTGGCACATGTGAGGTTGCATGTTGTAAGATTAAATCTAGAAATGGGTTAGTGACTATAGGGGTAATATACCGTAGTCCGTCTTGTCTTGCTGACGACTTTATCCTAAGACACATCTGTTCTTGGAGTATGGCAGAATGTTGTCTCATCATTGGGGACTTCAACGCACCGCATATCAACTGGATAGAGCTTACAGCTCCAGGTAGTGGTTTCGATAGCGACCTTTTATCTACCGTTATTCAGTGTGCACTTGTACAATGTATCATAAAACCGACACATATTGATTTGCAACATGTTCCGTCACTGCTGGACCTCGCCCCCACCCACCACTCTGAGGATGTCCTTGATATCCTCCACTAGTGAACAGTGATCACGTTGTAATTCACTTTAAGTTTAGGACACATGGTATACAATTCGTATCTGCTCCACCCCGTCCCAATATCTGGCGAGCCAATATTCCGGAAATCAGAAACTGTGCTATCTCGACTGATTGGTCGGTCGACGCGGATGGATTGATCGAAGATGAATGGAATAAGTTCAAGGCTACATTCGAGTCCGTAACGTCGCCGTTTATCCCATGGTCAGCACGTAAGCTATCACATTGCCCTCCATGGATTAATAAGGAAACCCGGAAGCTGTTAAAGCGTAGAAAACATTTCTGGGACTTATTCTTGTTGACAGGTCATGCACCATTTAAGCGTGAGTACCAAAAATACCGTAATATCTGTAAGAAAACCATAGACAAATCTCGTACCACTTACGAACGACAGTTAGTATACGATAGCCGTACTTGTCCGAAACGATTGTTTTCGTATGTTAAACGGCAAATGAAACGTAGTGATAGTATTCCCCCGTTACTGTTACACGACAATTCAGAATTACTAGCTGAATCAGATCGAGCAAAAGCTGAGACTTTTTCAGACTACTTTAGCGAAGTCTTCTCAACGATTATTGTAACAAATACTTGTCCCACTCACACCGAGATACCAACCATCGAATCTGTACAGGTGACTGAGGAAACTGTCCTTCCGTTGATAACTAACCTCAAACCTGGTAAGATACCGGGCCCTGACGGGTTACATCCACGGTTGCTGTCATCTCTTGCGGACATTATTTCAAAACCGCTTGCGACACTCTTCAACATGTCCCTCTCACTCGCTCAACTCCCTAGAGATTGGAAGGACGCTATAGTTAGTCCTATATTTAAGGACGGTCAGCGACAGATAGCATCTAACTACCGACCTGTCAGTCTAACTAGCATAGTCGTTAAGTTACTGGAAAAAATAATTCGGGTTAGGTTGCTAAGCCACATAGATTTACACAATCTGTTAGCTCCTGAGCAACACGGATTTCGTAACAAGCGTTCATGCTTGACTAACTTGCTTATTGCGAGGGAGGATTGGACAGCAGCCCTAGATAACGGTCTGTCTGTCGACGTGATATTCATAGATTTCAGCAAAGCGTTTGACAAGGTTTCACACGTAGGTCTTATGCAGAAGCTCACGAGCTTCGGAATAATAGGCACTGTACATGAGTGGATAGGAAATTTCTTATGTGACCGCAGACAGAGAGTTAGAGTCAACGGAACGCTATCCGATTGGAAGCCGGTCAAAAGTGGTGTACCCCAAGGCACCATCTTAGGCCCTCTGCTCTTCCTTCTCTACGTTAATGATTTACCGCTGTTACTTAGGTCGTCGACATTATTGTTTGCGGATGATGTAAAAATCTGGAGAACAATAAAAAGTGCGGCTGATCATGTGGATCTTCAAGCTGACTTAGACGATTTAGTTAGATGGGCTCGAGAGTGGGGCTTAGAAATCAATGCTAGGAAGAGTGTGCTAATGCACATCGGTCACGGTAATAGTTACCGTTACACTATTGAGGGTAAACCTCTTCCATGCGTTCAAGAGCATAAAGACTTAGGAGTAATATTAAGTCATGATTTAAAAACAACTAAGCATTGCAAAGCAGCCGCTGTCAAAGGTTTTCGTGCGTTATGGTCACTTCGCCGAGCGTTCAAATCTTTTGACGAGGAAATGTTTAGAATTTTATATCCCATATATGTTAGACCACATTTAGAGTACTGTATCCAAGCAGCTAGCCCGTGTCTGGTAAAGGATACTAACTCCCTTGAGCGTGTCCAGCGTGTGGGAACGAAATTAGTGAAGGGTCTTTCTAGACTCCCTTACGATGAGCGTTTAAAACGCCTAAATCTTTTCCCCTTGTCGTATCGTAGGACACGAGGTGACCTTATACTGGCATTTGGTATCTTTAATTATGATTTGGGTGTTAATATGTCTTATCTTTTTGCTCCCTCCAGCACTATTAATCTCCGAGGTCATAGCAAGAAGGTTCATAAACCACGATCTAATAAACTTAAAGTGGGATCCCGTTTTTCTCATCGAGTAGTCAATGATTGGAACGCCTTACCCGAACAAGTGGTATCAGCCCCATCAGTGAATACTTTCAAGGAAAAGCTGGACCTTCACTGGAAAGCAATGTGTCAGGATTAACACAGGTTCATCAACCTACTATCCTTATTACTGAAGACTGAAGACTACAGTCATGAAAAACTCATGCAAACGACCTGGATGCCGTTTTGCTGTTACATCTGGCATGCAGTGCGACAACTGCAAACGTTGGTTCCACGAAGCGTGCACAGATCTCACAGCAACTGCTCACAACAGGCTCAGCAAGTCGGATCATAAGTGGGAATGTGTTACGTGCAGCACGGACGCTGCAGTCTTGCTGAGTAATATCATTGTCCTACTGACAGGTCTGCAAAACAAGTTGTTTTCAAACTTGGAAAAAGACAGTCAAAAAATGGGTAGACAAACAAGAAAGCGCATTGAAAGCGAGAATATGGATGTCGACAGGTCTACCAACGACGGAGCACGAAACAGCATTAATGATGACACGCTGAAACTCGGCACCGTGATTACGACGACAGTGCTCGACTCCATCAGCAAGCTCGGGTCTCACAGCTCAAGGTTCTTGAACGCGACAGAGGTTCCCAAAAACTCCGTAGGCGATTGGACCCATGTCAAAAGAGCTAAAACGAACCAGGCGTCACCGTCTAAGTTGAACATCCCAGCAGTTGAACGTAAGTCAACTGGTGATCTGGTCGCACAGTCTACCCCCAAGATTGTCCGTCCGGTCATCAAAGAGCCAAGGATTCATAAACGTGCTCTGACCCCCAAACAACAAGGTGCTAAACCTAAACGCACCGGAAAACCTGGGACGATAATAACAGTCCGTGATGACTCTCTCATAGCTATGAACTTCAAAGAAAACCCTGACCTTCCTCTCAGTTTGCAGGACAAAAATGATAGTATGCTCTTGGGAGAATTGAACAAGACATTCGGACTTCCAAGAATAGAGCCTTTGACAGTCACACGGCTCACTCGGAGAAATGAATCTAAGCATCAAAATCACCCGAGGCTACTTCGTGTAACACTTAAGAATGCTTCCGACGTAGAGGATGTCTTACTAGCGAGTCATTTACTGAAAGCAGATAGTAATGTAAGAATACTGCCTGACATACCGTATTCTGAGCACGATCTCATCCGGAACATCCTCAAAGAAACTCGCGATCAGTTTTTCCGCGGGAGGAATATAATCGTGCAAGGTATGCTGGAAAATACGGATGGTGATTCTAGACCCCGTCTAATGAAGATAACCTTTCCAACTCTGGAAGCATTTCGTGCCAACAGACGTCGACTGCCACCTGGAATCCACATGCACCCGGATAGGCCATACGAAGCTAGGACCAAACACAAAGGCAAGTTAGAGCTGATCATTCCACTTGTGGACTGTCCAGACGATAAAAAAACGTGTAAAGGACAGGGCCTACCACCTCGGTAAACCTCATATAGGTGGGCTACCTGTCCATTTACGTAAGGCTCATACAGACAAACAGGAAGAAGCTCACGCATTTCAAATTGAAAGCATAAACTGCTTATGTATGAATGCCGCGAGTCTACCAAACAAAGTGGATGAACTACGTGAACTTAGCAATGCTATTAAGGCCCATCTAATAGTAATATCTGAAACCTGGATATCTTCTCAGTTCTCGGACCGTGAGTTAGCATTACCTTGGATGTCTTTGTTCCACAATGACAGAAAGTCAAGATATGGGGGCGGTGTAGCTGTTTACATACGTTCTTGCTTGGAGGTGCATCAAGTTCATTACTTAGAGTTTAACAATCTTGAGGAATCTATATGGTGCTCTGTAAGATTGTCTAGTACTCCGAGGTGTCTAGTCGGAGTTATTTACAGGAAGCCAACTGCCGACACCGAGTACGATAGTTGTATGCTGGAAGGACTATCCCGCTTTACTCGTCTCAGTTTCACACACATCCTGATACTAGGGGACTTTAATCTCCCTAGAGTCAACTTCGCGGAACACATGTATACTGGAGGCGACAACTCAATTGAAACTCGGTCCCCAGAAGTACGAGTGGTAATGCGTCACTCCATTTTGTTGTATCATCTTGTGCAATCAGCGAGCTTTTTAATTGGCTGTGAAATGGGATTTAGGGTAATGGGTTTTGTATTTTGGCGCGAAATTCAATCATCCATTTGGCTAAATAGAGCTTTAGCAGTTAAGCTGACGCAATTTCATAATGAAAACTCCCAAGCTAACTCTCAAATCTAGCCGTCAATTGTTAATCATAATCCTAATTTCTCGCAATAGTTTATCTAGCTCTAGTAAGTAGATAGGCATTCCGGAGGTCACTTTAGCGCCAC